CAAAACCCTGGCTTTTGAAAGGAAGTGGATGAATATGGAAGACTTACTGCTGAGTGAAGCAAGCCATGCTATGAAGGAGAGGCATTGTATGTCCCCACTTAATATATACCGAGTGTCTGCACTCTAGAGATAGATATATATAGATAGATAGATAGATAGATAGATATAGATATATATTTGAAACTGTACTGCTTCTGTTGTTATAGAGTTATAAAATTATACAAAATTATAAGACATATTTTGAACATTATCTTTAAAATTCGGTATTTTGAAATTTTGAAAGTTGTTTGTAAACTGTCAAGAATTATGGAGTATGAGCTAAAATTTTTTGCTATGTAAAGTAAATGTTTGTGAAAAAATGTAAAAATAAATACATGAAAGAAAAAAAAAGTTAAAAAAAAAGAAAAAAAGAAAAAAAAATTTGTTAGTGTTGGCCACCTGCTCAAGGCTATTTTATATTATGTGCAGCAATGCCTCCATCTTCCCCTGTGCTGGTAGCTTACTGCTTACATGGTGAGATGATATGGCACTAGCTCGTCTGCTGGTGATTATGGAACCATGACACAGCTGCTGTTTGCCCAGAAATGTGTAGGACAGTTTCTCCTCCAGTGATATTATTATTTTTTTTAATTTATTTTAAATTCATTCACTGAACATCATCACAGCATATAAGACACAATTTCTCATCCAGAATACACTGTATAGTGGCTTAATCATACATGTTATCATCAACCAATAATTTTCCATTTATTTTTCCTTTTCCTCCCACTATTTCTTATTCTTTGCTGTTTCCCACCCTCCTCCCACACTGTCTCTGGTATCTACAATTGCTTTCCATTCCTTTTTTTCCTCCCACATTTTATTGATTCACAAGATATCTTAATTAATCTAACTACTTTCAATAGCAAGTTCAGCTGATACATACATATCTGTGAACACATGTCTGACTTAAGGCATGAAACTCTGTGAGTATATACTATACTATAAAGTAGCACCCTACTCGGGCTATATAACTTTCGTCATTAAATAGATATTTTTTAATATATATATATTTTAATTTCAAGAAAGGGAGTTTTAGCTTTAATAAATCAAAATCAAAAAATGTTAAGAGGACTTTGCTTAAGACTTAAAGCCAGGAAACAGATTAGGATTCTGTTCAAATAGTAGGTACATGGACTTGTCAACAACTCAAGAGAAGACAAAAATCCTTAACTTCAGAAAACAAAGCATAAAAGAAGATCAGTAATGTTTTAGTCAAAAGTCATAAAATTCTATTTCACCAATTCAGTCTCATGTACTTAATCTATCTTCTGTTTGAGAATCTTAAGATGCAGAAAGAACTTAAGAATTTCATAGACTTTTAAAAAGCTTAAGCTTTTGGGATTTTGTTTGTATAGATATTCACTTTTAAAAATATGCATGTGAATATGTTATCCCCTTTTCTCTCTAATTTTCCTACTTTATCCACTTTTGACAGAGTAAAAATAGTTCTTGCCTATCTTCTCCCTCCATACTCCCACCCGCCCCAATCAGTCTTCAGATAATAGACTTCACTTAGGATATCCGTCACAGGATATAGTCTTAAATTATTTCATTCTCTTGATACTCGTTTAAAGCATTAAGGCATCCCTTCTGGGTGTAACTTATACTCTCTTGTCTAATCTGATACACTCTACATAAGTTCTGACTCTTGAAACCATTGATCTTGCTAGTGTACCTTATTTCTTTTCTCAGGCTTAAACTGATGTGTCTTTCCCCAGGTCTCTAGTAGAATAATGTTTAAGCTCCAGGTTTATGACATTATTAATTTTTTTAACTTGAATCTTGAGGCTGTTACTTAGCTATACCTTCCTTGACTGGTGACAAAGAAATCACTTTTCCCCCTGGTTTTAGATGTTCAGTTCTCCTCTCCTTAACCCCCGTATTAACCCAGAGATGAGTTATTAAAGCAAACTCATGAGAATCATAAATCTTATCCATCAACAAATTGACTCATGATTCAAAGGAAACAGGCAAGCATTCAGGCATAGAAAAGGCATTGTTTTTCTGAAAGAGTCTGAAACCATCAGTTACAACACTCAGAAGTATCCCTTTTGTCCTGCCCTAGGATGTATTTTTGACTTTGGAATAAGTGACTAGTTACTGGACACTATACAGAGAAAAAAGTAAATCACTTTTTTCTAACATCTTTTACATCACATTAACTACACAACTTAAAGATTTCCAGTCTCCAATAAGACTCATAAACTTTAGGTTTATTTAATTACTTTAGTTAAATAGACCCGATATAGCCTATTAAAATCATTTATAGACAGGGGCTTTTCATCTGCTAGTAAATACTATCAACGTACTTACAACAGGACTAGCCTAGGCCGTCATTCCCTGGAGTATCTCCAAAGTTTAACTCCTTCACTAGTATTACAAATCATCTTTGCAGCACCCAGTATACACGTTGGACTTTAGAATTAAAATTGATTTTTCAGAAGGTACACAGGAAAAGAAGATTCTTTGACATGTGATACATTCATAGTACAATTAAATATATACGTCAACTTTCTATTTCTTACTGCTAGTGGATGGATTCTATAGTCAGGAATAGTTCTTCAGAATGGCATATGAAGAGGACACCTGATGATTTGGTGGCATGTTTTATACATTAGTTTGTGTTCGTGCCCTTTTTTATCTTTTGATAATTAATAGAAAAGTCACAAATACATCAGAATTTTAGTTTAACTGAAAGTGTGCCTACAAAGATAATTTGAGATTTCAGTGAGCCTTGAATGTCATGTTCAAGGCTGGTGAACTATTAAAGATATATTTGTAAAGGATTACTTATATAAAAGTCTTTCAGAAAAATGTGTTATCTTGAATGTAGCAGGGTGAAACAAGGAAATCAGGTACAGAGTTGCTGGCACAGCCTTGAGTAAAAAGTAGTAACTTGTTCCAAAGTTTGAACAAGAACAACAAGACAGAAAAAAATTTTTTGTTGAAGTACGTATATAGGTAAATGGCATTTAATGTTCTTTCTGTTTGAAGACTCACAAAAATATTTTTGGTTTTATGGAGATATGAATAGTAGTTTATCTGGCTTATCTTAGTCTCATTGAACTAAAAGAGAACTAATTTAAGTACAAAATTATATACAGAAAGTTTATAAAATTTGTAATTAAAATGGATCCCCATATACTTTTGTTGAATATTACTACAGTGTGATTATACAAATAAATAATGCTAGTCTCTGTTTACCTTTGTCATAAAAAGCAAATTATTCTAATTAAAATTACATATGCTACTTGATGATTGTGTTTGGTTAATATAGCACCTAGGAAAATCAGAATCTTAAGTTCACAAAATTTTCTGGAATACGCTCACTAGGTCACTTCTTTAAAAAAGAATTACTGGGAACCAGCAGTTAGTGTAATGGTTATGTCGTTGGACTCCCATGTAGTCGACCGCAGTTCGCGTCCCGGACCCGGTGGCTTAAAACTCACACCGGGCACGTGTGCATGCGTGCCCAAGATCCCAAGAGGAGAATGGAGGAGAAGGGATTGCGGCGTGATCATCCCCCCTGGGGGGTGATTTTTCGCTTTCTGTCTCTCTGTCTCTCTCTGTCTGTCTGGCGAGCGCACACGCCCTATAGCAAAAACCTCTCCAAAAAAAAAACGAAATACTTATTTTTTTTATTCATCATTATTATTATTTTTTAATTTGCTATGATACACATGAGCTTACCAGAGACAGGTAGAGAAAAAGAGGGAAAGTGAGAAACCAAGCCACCAGGTCCAGAACTTGAACCATGCCAGCCACATGGGACTCTAGCACTTTAACCATCATTTCACCTGCTGGCTCCTCATTAGGTCATTTTAATCATAGTAAATTTGTCCTTCTGCCATACGTGCATGTTCTAAAAACAAAAATGGTTTTAAGATGGGATATTTCTAGAGTTTTCTTTAAAAGAAAGACATTTAAAATAAGGACTAATTTTTCTTCTATATTGGTTTATTTAATTATATAATTCTTAAAAATAATACATGTTTATGACCACACATATTTCAGGATACCATATTGTTGCCCTACTGGAAGTTTTTTTAAATCTTGTATTATATTTTGGCCAGAGATAAGTATGGAAAAGAAGGGATTATAATGCTAGAGATGGAGGCATCAAAAGTCATCTGAACTCTCGGCTATTATAGTGACCAGAATTACAGTAACACTAGTAACCTTATACTAACATTTCATGGAAGTTGAATGTTTCATCTTGCTTAATTCTTTTCATTTCCACAAATACCTCCCTTTATTGTAGAATCAAATATTGGCCATAAAAACTTTTTTTTTTTCTTTTACTTTTTTATAGCTTGTTGCTGGTTGCAGGGGGGACAGTTCTAAAAATCTGTGATTTTGGTACAGCCTGTGACATCCAGACACATATGACCAATAACAAAGGGAGTGCTGCTTGGATGGCACCTGAAGTCTTTGAAGGTAAATAGTGAAAGTGTGATGCAATTAATACTCTACTTCACTGCTTTTGAATTCAATATGTGTTTATAGGTTTTTGCAATTTCTTTGGTTTTATTTCTGCATAGTATGTAATTATTAGGTATATCCCAAAGTCTAAGGTGGTATTAAAATAAATACAGCCTTAAATCCTAAATCTTACAGCAAGATTTATATTATCTCATATCTTTTGTGCAGGCTCCTGATCATAGATTTCATAATTGCAAAAATTGCCTTCTTGCTAAACTTTTATTTGTAACCCCAAGATTAATCACGGTGCTCTCACCGTTATTTGCAGAGAAGTGCAACTTTTTATTTGCTCAACATGTTCTCAGCTGAGGTCAAACAGGGCTGCATTCTACTTTGTTGTTTCAGCTCTCATACTGTAAATAGTATCCTTTTTGCAGTCTATTTAGAGCTTTACTTTACCCATTTTTGTAATTTTTGTTCGTGATCTTGTTATTTATTTTAGTCCCGTAGCATAGTATTGCTGCAGTATAAGAAAGTCATGATATGTCTTACAAAGAAAATACATGATAGTTAATTTCATTCAGCATTGTAACAAAGTTGGCCATCAGTCAATAGTGTATATTAAACAAAGGGTCTTTAAACAGGAACCATATAAAACAAGCTTATGTGTTGATCATTTGACAAAAACGTTAGAACCAAAAGCACTTAGTAATCCAACTCTGTATTTCCCGTAAGAGCAATGCTCCAGTATTCACTAATTCACTGTTTACAGAGATTTTATAGTACATAAGTACCAGAAATAAGGAGAATCAGCTGTGCTTTTGTATTGGTTTCATAGCAATTAAAAGTTGACAATCCTAAAGTTTAAATGACCATGGCTTAAAAAGGACACAAGTAATTGGGCAGAAATATGATACTAAGAACTACAGATAAAGGACAAACTTGTGTCTCCTTTCTTTATAACTCCATATCTCATTCAAGTTTTAAAAGAGTAGTCCATAAATTATATACTAGGTTTCTCTATAAAAACACCAAATTATCTGTTAATGAGAGAAGTTGAACTGAACGTGTGTGATTTGTGTATTAGGAAATATGAATGCCCCCCAAATTCAGATGCATTCAGTAATCAGTCTTTGGGCATGACTGTTTCTTTTAGTTTTGATGAGCTTGAAGTTTTTCCTTTCTCTGTTTTTAGCCATCCCAACTTGAGTGTATGAAAAATTGCTAATCACTGGAATGGAGTAATTTTGCCCTAAAATTCAGTTCATAAGTAAGAGGACATAAAATGTTAAACTACACACACAAACACACACACACACACAAAATGCCTCTTGAGGGGACCAGCAATTAGCATAATGGCTATGTCACTGAACTCCCATGTAGTTGACTGCGGTTCGAGTCCTGGACCTGGTGTCTTAAACTCATGCCAGGCACGTGTGCGGGCGTGCCTCAGATCCCAAGAGGAGAATGGAGGAGAAGGGATTGCGGTGTGGCCATCACCCCTGGGGGGTGATTTCTCACTTTCTGTCTCTCTCTCTGTCTCTCTGATGAGCACACACACCCTATAGCAAAAACCTCTCCAAAAAAAAAATGCCTCTTGTTTCATATGCAAAATATATATAGTTGGTTTTGCTTTAACAGTATTTACTTATTTAATATACTTTTCTGTGAGTTAAAATGGCATCATATTAGTAGTATGGAGAGCAAAAAGATTTGTACACAAAAGTGTAATACTTAATTGTATGAAGTGGCAATGATCAGATGCAGATGCACATGTGCCCAATAAGTTTCTTAAATTGCCATATCTGGAACTTGAACTGCACAGTCAGCCAAGTGGGATCCAGCTGCCTCAACCACCACTTCCAGGGCTCACCCTGTTCAACCTATTTTTAAGCTTGTGAATTAAGAATTTTTTCTAATCATATATTGAGAAAAAAAGTAATGCTAAATTAGAAATGTCTTCTGCTTTCATAGCAGAATACTGTTGTTCATCAGAGAATGGGGAAAGACATTTTGATGTTTAAAAAGTTTAGAAAAGAATGTACAAGTGTTTCCTACTCTGCCTGAGACTGCCACTCTAAATACATAGAAGACAAAGAACCTCTTGATGAAAAGGTAGAAAATAACTGAATTTCTAACAGTAGATTCTTACACTGTATTATTTATTTTTAATTCATTTTAAAAAGGTATTTGTTGAACAGACTCAGGGATCTCAGAAAGAATACATGTGGCAGCCTCTTGTTTTTGTCTAAGATACACATTCTTAAAATATGAAAGCAGTTCTTTCTATAAGTAATATGGAAAAAATACCTTGAGTTTATATTGCCTCCCCCCCTTTTTTTTTATAGGTAGCAATTACAGTGAAAAATGTGATGTCTTCAGCTGGGGTATTATCCTTTGGGAAGTGATAACACGTCGGAAGCCCTTTGATGAGATTGGTGGCCCAGCTTTCCGAATCATGTGGGCTGTTCATAATGGTTTGTGAAAATAAATTTTTCTTTAATGTACTTTATTTGTTTTATATTTGGAAGATTGTTTTTGTCTCCTCCCCCAGAGAAGGCCCTTTATCTGTAACATTAAAATATGCGATTCCTTGTTAGGAGACTAACTACCTATGTCAGTTTCCATCCTTCCCTCCTGTTCTCCTACCCTAGAGCCTGGCAGGAGGGTTGGAGCAGACCTCACCTCCACGTAGGGTAGAGGACGTTTGCAGGCTGTACCGATTAGGAAAAGGCCATCAGTATACAGGCAGAGCCAACTGTCTAGGTTTGCTCTCTCTTGGGGATAGAGAAGCATAATAAAATATGGACAAAATATAATACGTAAATAAAATCTCTCCATGGAAGCAAAGCTCTCAGAGGAGAAAAATAATAATAATAATAAAAGTTGTTACTTAAGTTCAGAAAGGCAAAACACAAAGTGCTTCACATACCTTCTTTTTTAAATATATGTAATTTTTCGGATGTCTTAGAGGGGAGTATATTGCTTTATATTGCTTTATTTTATAGCTTAGGAAACTGAGACTTAGAGAGGCTAAATAACTTACTCAGTGTTAGATTAGTAAATGGTAGAGCTGGAGTTTCAGTTCATATCTTTGTGAGTCAAATACCTGTATTATTAAGTCATTGACTTATAGGCTCAGTATTCTTATATCCCTCCAGTTTTTTGTTTGTTGGTTGGTTGGTTGGTTGGTTGGTTTTAAATATATTGGATCATCTAAAAAGTCATAGTATTTTTCTATGCAAAAATGCGCCTGATTTTTCAGACAACTCAGTATCATAATGATGTTGCTAACTACATATGTTAGGATGTATCCTCTTCATTAATAACGTTACTTCATATTTGCTGTGAGAAAATAAACTCTTCAAGCAAAAAAATTCCTCAGCCTTCCTAACTTTGGCATTACTGTCTATTATTTTATTATTATTACTGATTATAAACATTCTGGCTTTTTTTTATTTTTGGAGGGGGAGGTTTTTGCTACAGAGCGCATGCACTTACCAGAGAGACAGAAGCGAGAAATCACTTCCCGGGGGGATGGCCATGCCGCAATCCCTTCTCCATTCTCCTCTCGGGATCTTGGACATGCATGCACACGTGCCTGGCATGAGTTTAAGCCACTGGGTCTGGGACTCGAATCACGATTGACTACATGGGAGTCCAGCGACATAGCCATTACACCAACTGCTGGTCCCAACATTTTTATATACTATTCCACAATAGTATATATTTTAAAAAAACACACACACACAACCACAGATGTCTGCTTAACTATTTAGGACATCCATACACTTGTCAAACAGTACCAGTGTCTTAGTAATCTTGCTGTAGTTACCACCTAGGCTCCTATACTGCCTCTAATCTCTAATGTCATTGTAGAGAATGCTTAGAGTATGGATGAGGCATTTTGCTTTCTCTATTAATTGTCAGTAAATTGAATGTCAGTGAAGTAAGGAGTTAAAGAACTAACTTGATAATTGATAAAATTACAAAGATCTTATTTTATTTGAAAACTTTAAGTAGAGACCCTTACTAATAATAGTATAGATTTGGTAGTTCCAAAAAGTTAGCAGTTTCAACTTATGAAATGATTGATTCACAGCAGTCAAAATATCTGTCTCCCACAAAAGATCATTTCAAAGTCAGTAAGTATAGCACCATAGTTAACGCTTTAAATATAAGAAAGATAATTTTTCAAACCATTTTTTTCAGTGATTCTGAAGTATAATTTAGATAAGGTTTCCTTAAGCCATTCTTTTACTTTTCTTAGTAAAACCTATAGTGACCAGCAATTAGTGTAATGGCTATGTCACTGGATTCCCATGTAGGTGAGCACGGTCGAGTCCCGGACCCAGTGGCTTAAACTCACGTCGGACGCGTGTGCGTGCGTGCCCAAGATCCCAATAAGAGAATGGAGGAGAAGGGATTGCAGCGTGGCCATCCCCCCAGGGGGGTGATTTCTCGCTTTCCGTCTCTCTGTCTCTCTCTGTCTTTCCGGCGAGCACACACACCATATAGTAAAAAATATCTGCAAAACAAAACAAAAAAGAAACAAACAAACAAAAAAACAGCAACAAAAAATAAAACCTATATTAAGCCATTGGCTATTTGTTAAGAGAATGTTTAAAACAAATCAAATGTTAATTCTGTCTTTCTGTTACCATAATGCATTATAAAAACTTTAGCTTAACTTTTTAAAGATGTAGTTTCCTATTTATGAAGATATTCATAAGATAAATATTAATCTAAATGACCAAAAAAAATACTCTTACTACTCCAGTGTACAGATCTTAAATTACTTGATCTATAAACTAAATACTGCTTTGGAAATAATTTTTTTTTTTTAAAGCTTGCACCATTTTGAGGATAAATACGTTTTTCTTCTTCCTCTAATTTTCATTATAGGTACTCGACCACCACTGATCAAAAATTTACCTAAGCCCATTGAGAGCCTGATGACTCGTTGTTGGTCTAAAGATCCATCTCAGCGCCCTTCAATGGAGGAGATAGTGAAAATAATGACTCACTTGATGCGGGTATAATCCTTCTTTTGAGGGGCTTTGGGTTTATTTGAATTTAATATATGCTGAGTTTTAATGAGATCTTAAAATAAAAGGAACATATTACAATTTTTTGCTTTATAGTTTTCTATATTTTCCAAGTTCAAATAGGCATTATTACTCATATAATCAGAAGATGAAACATTATTTTGGAAAGAAAAAAATTCATTAGTTTTTGTATAATGGAAAGATGTCCAGACTTGGTTTCTGAGCCTGCCTTTTAATACTGCTTTTATTAGTGGACAAGTATGTTTATTTCCAGGCCTATTGCTTCATCTGTTGTGTAAAAGAAGCTGAATTGATAATCTCTATAATAACTTACCTAAGCCATATTATGACTCTAATACATGCTAAACTAAATTAAAAATTTTCTCACATAGCTCTTCATCAAGAATTCAGTCATTTATAGGGACCAGCAGTGGGCATAATGGCTATGTTGCTGGACTCCCATGTAGTCAACCGCAGTTCAAGTCCCAGACCCGGTGGCTTAAACTCACGCTGGGCGCATGTGCGTGTGTGCCCAAGATCCTGAGAGGAGAAGGGATTGCAACGTAGCCATCTCCCTGGGGGGAGTGATTTCTTGCTTTCTGTCTCTCTCTTTCTCTCTCTGTCTTTCTGGCAAACACACGTGCCCTATAGTAAAAACCTCTCCCAAAAAAAAGAATTCAGTCATATACAGGGCAGTAAAAGAGTACATTCTCAGGCATATTCATCTGATTTTTTTACTATTTGTTTTTTTTTGTATTTTATGTTTTTAGGTTTTCATATGACAATAAAAAGTTAAACGTTCTTCTAGGATTAATGAAATGTTTTAATTCAATTTAACATTTTGAGTAATTTACATATTTTAGTTTTCATAATGATTATCAAATTTTCATAGTCTATTATAACCACACACTTTTAGAATTATTTGAAACATTTTAGGTTTCTAGCTTTTGAAATACTGACAAAAATTGCTAAGTGGTACCTTAGCTTTAAAAAAATCATGTACTGAGGCCACCAGATGGCATAGCAATTAGGTCACTGGACTCCCACATGACCAACCACAATTCAAGTCATGGACCCAGTAGCTTGAACCTCATGCTGGGCTCCTGTGCATGCATGCCCAAGATCCTAGGAGGAGAATGGAGGAGAAGTGATTGTAGCATGGCCATCCTCCCTGGGGGTGATTTCTCACTTTCCTTCTTACTGTGTCTATCTTTTTCTCCTTCTCTGGGTGAGCACATATGCCCTAAGGCAAAAACCTCTGGGTAGGGGGTAGGAGGAGAAATTCACATACCTACAAAAATGTCTGAGTTTCTGGACAATTTGTTCAGTAGAAGAATCTTGCCATCTCCCAAAACACAGATGAAGTGATTTCCCAAATGATCAAAAATATAATTTGTTCAGTCTATGGAAAATAACTTAGGTGAAGCTGTTTGAATTAATTTGGTTAAAGTTTATTGTCATATTTGGATACCAGCTATATTTAGAACCCTAACTTTGTAAGTGTGTATATAAGAAAACCACTTAGTCACTATAGTCAAATAACTTAAAACTTCAGATTGTATAGATTGTTCTTATTGTTATTTTGCCTGTATCTGCTTTATCTAATTTGAGGAAAATTCCTTTTTTCTCTAAGTTCTAAAATTTTTGTCCAGCAAATGTTTTCAATATAAAGTCTCCAATTCGTAGGAGATCCGTAGTCCTGTTGATATTTAAAATATTAGTTCTAACAATTACTCAGTGCTATAACAGTCTCAGTTATCAGACTAAGAATCATTGTAATACTTTGGAAGTTTACATCACTGCGGTGAGAACATAGATGCATTCTGTTTAATTATGAGGAAATATACTATATATCTTGTGTTCTTCAAGAGAAACAGTCACCATTTCAAGACTATCTAGACTCCATGTAAACTAGATGTGTAGATAGGTATATGGTGTTGATCAGAGTCAAAATTTAGTGCATATTATTGTCATCTTTGTAAAAGCAGAACTTCAGCATCTACAAATTCAGTATATACCTTAGGGAAAACAAAAACAGCATCTTTGCAATGGCCAAATATGATGAAAAGGAATTAATTCAGATGTACTCTTCAAGATAATTTTAAAAGGATTTAATTTATATTAAAAAAATTTTAAATTGCAATTTCTGTTTTTATATATAGTACTTCCCAGGAGCAGATGAGCCATTACAGTATCCTTGTCAGTATTCAGATGAAGGACAGAGCAACTCTGCCACTAGTACAGGTAAATAGTTACGTCAGAAGAGTAATAACCTGATTTTGGGGAGAGGGGGGAGTGTCCTCTAGTTCCATGAAATTATAATCAAGAAACAATGAATGATGTCCCCATTTGCATTTTAATTTCTTCATTTTATATGATTGACTGTAAGTTTATTTTCCAGGTGCATCTTTTTTTTTTTTTTGAGAGAGAGAGAGAGAGAGTATTTTGCTATTAGGGCTTGTGCACTCACCAGACAGACAGAATGACAGAAAGCAGAAAATTATACTCCCAAGGGGTGGCCACACGACAATCCCTTCTTCTCCATTCTTCTCTCGAGATCTTGGACACTCACACACGCGCATGCAGCGTGAGTTTTAAGCCACAGGCTCCAGGACTGAAACTGCAGTCGACTACATGAGACTCCAGCAACATAACCATTACACCATCTGCTGGTTTGTCCCAAAATATTCCAAGCTTCTGAATCATTAATCTAATTAAACCCCAAAGGAATATGTGTACATATGTACATGTATTTACCTTGTACTTCAAGTTTTATTATTACTGACAAATATTTTTACTTCTGTTTTACTCATCTAAAGAACAGTTTGATTTATTTTAAGCTGGTTTATTTGGCTAGTTATTCTCAAAGTTCAATTTTACTGAAAGTCATTTGAATTTCTCTGAATTCTAAAATGAACTTCTAGAATTCTATTATCTGCTTCTCCTGCTATCTCTTAAACCCTTTCCTCATTTCCATACTGTGACCTTCATTCAGTACTTTGTTCCTTGTACCTTTTCACTCATCCTCAGTGATCTTAGCCCCTTCCTTCCTTCCTTCCTTCCTTCCTTCCTTCCTTCCTTCCTTCCACTTAATTCCAGTCCAAAAAAAAAAAAATACCCTCAATACCCTCAAATGCATATTTAGTGCTGCTTGACTGTTGTACAGTATTTCAGTCTGTCTTCTCTCTCTTTATAACTATGGCTGGATTGTGCTGCCTTCTAGCAAAAGGCAAACTCTTCTTTTTTTTTTTTTTTTTTTTTTTTTTTTTTTTTTTGTTTTTTTTATATAGTTTCTTAAGAGATTTTTGATATAGGGCATGTGTACTTGCCAGAGGTACAGAGAGACAGAAAGTGAGAAATCACTCCCAGGAGGGATGGCCATGCCACAGTCCCTTCTCCACTATCCTCTCGGGATCTTGGGCACATGTGCACACGTGCCCAGCATGAGTTTTAAGCCACCAGATCCAGGACTTGAACCAGGTTGACTATCTGGGAGTCTAGTGATGTAATCAGTACGCCATCTGCTGGTCCCAAAAGGCAAAGCTTTCTACTTGTGCATTATATCCCATCTGCTCTTCCACGCTTTTATCCCTTCTCTCTTGTATCATCACTTTTAAGCCTTTTTATTGAGATCATTCCCACATATCATAGCCTGTATTTGCATTTTCTAGCTTCTCTCTTCCCAGTCTTTCTTTCACTGACTTCATTCAGATTTATGTTATACCACTATTCTGAAATTATTCTTACCAAGGTGACCAGTTATCTCTGTTACTAAATCTAATGAATGATTTTCCATTCTTCCTTGAGTGTCAGAAGCAAACTCTCTCCTTACAGCACTTTCTTCATTTGGTCTTCAGACATCACACTAGCCTGGGTTTCATCTTACATCTCAGGCCATTTGCTCTGTTTTTTTTTTTTTTTTTTTTTTTGCTGACTGTTCCACATTTCTCTGACCTACTGAGTCAACCTACTCAGGGCTCAGTCATTTGGCCTCTTCAGTTATCTGTCAATTCTTATTTCCTTGGTAACCCCATCCATTATTATGGCTTTACATACCGTCTGTTCGTTGGCGTTTTCCCCCATCCCACACCTGAACTCCATAGTCTTAGAGCCACCTACTTGCTTTATATCTAATAGGAACTCAAACTTAACTTTTTCCAAATGAAGTCCTGATAATTTCTCTGAACTCATTCCTCTGTGTCTTCTGATCTCAATTAATAGCCCACAGTTCTTTTACCAGCTTAGGCTATAAACCTTTTATTCCTGACTATTGGATGACTAAGCCTTTTGGTTTCTTTTTTGTGTTATTCTTAAGTTTCATTTAAAACAGATTTCTGGAGCTAGCAAGAGGTGTAGTGTTTAAGGCACTAGACTCCCACATGGTCGACTGTGGTTCGAGTCCCAGCCTAGAGGCTTGCATTCTGTGTGTGTGTGTGTCTGTCTCTCTGGTAAAACTGAAGAATCATATAATAAATAAAATTAAATAAGTAATTCTTTAAAAAAATAGATTCGTTTGAGTATCTTCATTGGCTTTAAAGGTCTTATTTCTACTCATATCTTATCAGTTTAGGAAAGAATTTAAGTTATACATTAAATGCAGTATTTGTATTATTCCCAGCTGGTAGTAATAAATATTTCTGTTTTCCTAGGCTCATTCATGGATATTGCATCTACAAATACCAGTAATAAAAGTGATACCAACATGGAGCAAGTTCCTGCCACAAATGATACTATTAAACGCTTAGAGTCAAAATTGTTGAAAAATCAGGCAAAACAACAGGTTTGTTATATCATTAAAAAATAAAACCATATAGTAACCTTATAAGTAACCATAACATTATACTAACTGAAACTAATTATTTGCCATTTTCTTATTATAAATCTTGAATTCATAGAGCAGAGAGGTGAGTTAAGAATAGAGAATAGGGTGAGAATCTCCTACTGTTTGTTTTCTCTTCTAGTGATTGATTGTTCCCTCTGCCAACTCTGTAACTTCCTCACTCTGATGATCCCTAACTTATTGGTGGATGGTTAAAAATATAGAATGGATACATTATGTCCATATTACTCAGTTAAAGGAGTTGTCCTATCTGTCATTTCTTGCTGTTTATATTTACTATACCTTGACTGTTGCTGGTTTTAAATATTTTCAGGAGTGATTTTATTCATTTGCTTAAGGCATTTAAATGAACTAATCATTGAAGCATTTCACTCCCAAGTCTAGTGACCACCCTTTTATAAAAGCATTATAAAATTACCCTTGTAATTATCCTTTACCCATGTAACTCCCACTCCCTGCAAACTTCCCTGTTTCAGAGCAGAACAGAATCCATACGAATCCCACTTGGCATCTTCCTCCTTTTAGGCTGCCCAGATTTCTAAATCTAAAGAACTTCAGTAATTCAGATTGACCTGTAATTTTGACAGAGTGAATCTGGACGTTTAAGTTTGGGAGCCTCCCGTGGCAGCAGCATGGAGAGCTTGCCCCCAACCTCTGAGGGCAAGAGGATGAGTGCTGACATGTCTGAAATAGAAGCTAGGATCGCGGCGACCACAGGTAAAGGAACTGCAGGTCTGAAGAGAAATGAAAATGTATGTAATCCTTCTGTGGCATGGTAGTTTCCATTATTTCAGTCGGAATATCAAAGTGTTTTTTTGTGTCTTTATTTCTTTTTTTAAGCAAAAGTAGGTTTACAGTATATGTGTCAGCTAATTATTGCTAAGCTTCTAGCAATAATGTATACATTTATCTCCAATTTCAAATAAGTTCTGACACAAAAATTACTTGAATTATGTAATGTACCTTCCTAGTTATAGATTTTTATGAAATATAATTCTTTCTGCTCAAACATGAGCTGAAAGTCTAAGTGAGACATTGAAATTTTGCCTAACCCTGAATGTTTCGGGGGATTTTGAATGGCTCTAATAGATTTTTGTGTACAACTCAAATAATAACAGATATTTTGTTTTGAAATTAGCAGAAAAATAGATTCCAGATCTAAATATGATTGGGCCTTATTGCTTAACCCTCCTTCCAGTGGCAGAAAGAGCTAAGCTGGTGGGATTCTCTCTATCAATTGTAAAATGAAAAATAATGATCATTTTATTGAATCTTGAAAAAGCTAATATTTAAATTCCATTTTATCACTTCTTATCATGGAAGAACTGGTCAGCATAAAAACAATGTTACCTAAAGAACTGAATCTTCTTTTCTGACCAGGTTTCCTTTTAGTAATACTGGTTTAATTGGGGTTTTTTATTCTGATTCTCCACAGGGGTGGAGAGGAGCTGATTATAGTAGTGAATACATTTCTGTTGTGGGAAATGTGAAAATGTGAACAACCCCTCCCAAAAAACTTAAATCCTTATCTCATTTAGAGATAACACTTAACATTTTTTGGTATATATGGTCTTAACTATATATGTGTATAAATGTATATTTTCATGTTTATTTGCATATGTATTTTTTAACTTAGCTAACCAAAATTTATTTTTTAGGTTTTTTTTATTTTTTTGTATCTTTTTTGTTCTTTACATAGAATATTCTCATTATGTGTGGAGCTCTTTTCAAAAAGAAGTTGTCCAGATGAACCATCGTACTATACTAGTCTTCAACTAATCATGATCACTGACTTTATCAGCTAGCATTAGAAATCTGTTAGATATAGGAGAATATTCAAAGTAATAGTGTCTAAAACATGTAACCTTGATTTTTTTACACGTAAATAAGTCTAGAGGTAGGTTGTCTGATCAATAAGCAACTGATCTCTTTCTTTCTTTGCCACAATCCATATTATGTAACTTACATCCTCATGGTTACTTTATGGTCCAAAATGGCTGCTACAGTCCAGTCATCATTTATACATTCCAGGCAGCAGGAAAGAAGAAATAGGAGAAGGGTAAAATAGAAGATAGTTATAAATAGACCCAAGGGAAGGAAGGCTCTATGGTCATTTATCTGGAACTTTGTTGTCCTAAATAAAATCAGGGTTCTATTGTTAAGTTAAAAGGGAAGAATAGAGATTAGCAGGGGATTAACAATCTCTGCTGCAGGTGGGTCTTCAGAAATGAGTGAACGTCACCTGCCACTGACAAGCCCTCCTGGTCTCCATGAGTCACAAGTACTTCTGTGAACTACAGTTCTCTCATTGTAGTGTCAGATGAACCCTTCTCACAGGCATACCCTCATACTTGGAGAACCTCTTTTGCTTCAAGGATATTATTCAGTATAAACCTGCCAAATATTGATTACTACCCTAAAACAGGAAGTCTTGTTATAATAGTTTCCTGTCTGTGCTAGGATAACCACTCACATTAAAATTACCCTATCCTTTCTGCCCAAATGTAAAACAGTTACTGCCTTACATCCTTTAAATCTCACAGTTTAAAGTTCTAGGGAATTGTCTTACTTTGACGTTCATACTCACCAGTCTTTGGGCAATCTTTGTGTTTAACAGGACTGTACCCTAAACTTTGGAAACTTTAGTAAATATTCAGTTTACTAGTAGTATGTATAAGTATTTATAATTACAAAACATATATTTCATACTTTGATTCAATAATTATCATTTAACCACTGAGTTTTACTTTAGAGAACACTTCAAGAAACACTTAACTTGAACATATATTTCTGTTTGTCTAATTAAAACAAATATGACTGCTTATTTATTTTTAACTCCTTTCTACCTTCCCTCCTTCGTTCTACTCCATCATTTATCAGTGGTTTCACTTAGGTAGATTATTCTATGAACACATTTGAAATTTAGTTTCCTCATTATCTTGCAGCTTTGTTTGCCTCTGTCCTGTTTTTTCTCTGCTAATTAAAACCAGTGTATGAAACATCTTGTTTTAGTTGTTTGCTCTTTAATTGCACCTTTTCTAAGCATGGATGAAAAGTTAGATAGTTCTGCATGCCATCCTGCATGTAATGTTATTAACATAACTATTTGAAAGTTACTCTGTTTTTGCATTTAATTGTTTTCTGTGTTACTGTTTGTGGTTGTTTGCATGTATACTGTATATATGTGTTTTTGCAGCCTATTCCAAGCCTAAACGGGGCCACCGTAAAACTGCTTCATTTGGGAACATTCTGGATGTCCCTGAGATCGTCATATCAGGTATCATGGACCACCTGAGTTGGTCTCATAACTGTGGAACTGAAATAATGATCCCTGGTACTTTTAAAATGCTTCTTGCTCCAATTTTTATAGGACATGAAAATAGATCCCTTGCATGTAGTCATTAGGGACACAGATTAAAAAGTTTGTATGCTTCCACTGAAGCAGATTTGAAAAGCTACCTTAGATCTTCAATAAGACGATAAATTAGAAGAAAAAGTAAGCCTTCTATATCTGAGTGAACCCCAGCCCAGAATTCTTCCAGCTTCTCATCTTTCAAGTGGGCACATGAGCTAAATAAAGCTAGACCTTACCTGATGGAAAGAGAAAGTTATTTAAAGTTTTTCGTTGTTCTCAGCTTCATTCCTTCCTCAATTACTACTTTGGGGCTTCCTCTAGACTCTCTGTCACATCATTTCTCTCTTGGTAGCAAATGAATATAAAGTTGAGAGTAGAGAGCTGCCAAATCCATTTCTCTGAAACCTAGGAAACAGAAGCAAAGCCATGCCAGGCAGGTATGCATGCATGCCCAAAGTCCCCAGAAAATGGAGAAGGAATTGTGATGTGACCATCACCCCTTGGTGGGATTTCTCACTTTCCCTTTCTCTCTCTGTCTCTCTTTGGTAAGTACGTGCGCCTTATGGCAAAAACCTAAAGAAGAAAGTAAAACTAAATGAGATTGGATGTTTTGCAGGGTATCTTGCCAAAGAATAATGTAACATAAAGGGTTGATTATAGTTCTTTTGTGTATTTCAGCAAAATCTTGCAGATTGAATGTTTTCATACCTAAATCACACATGGTACTTTTGCATCTCAAATTATTAAGCTTTTTATTTCTTGTAGTGATTGATCATTTCATAAATGAACAAAAATTACAATTTTAATAGAAAATTTAGGGGCGTATTGCCCTTCAGTATTGATTAATAGGTGTTATCAAAATTATTTATTTATCCCTGTTCTTTAAATTTTCCTCCACCTTTTCTAATAAGAGGGAGAGAGAGCCATACGTATTTTTGAAATAGTTTTGCCAATTTGCAAAACTTCCTGCCTCTACCCCCCATTTAGTTAAAACTATAGGCATGCACCACCACACCCAGCCTGTTTAGATTGGGCCTGAAATTCAACCCTGGGCCTCCTATATGGTCTCAGCCATCACACAGTGATATCTTCCCACTTTGTCTCCATGCCTAGGCCCTTCCTTCACTCCTTTATTGTTTCTATTTTTTTTTTTGGAGAGGTTTTTTTTTTTTTTTTTTTGCTATAGGGTGCATGCGCTCACCAGAAAGAAAGAGACAGAAAGACAGAAAGCGAGAAATAACCCGCCAGGGCGGATAACCACACTGCAATCTATTCTCTTCTCGGGATCTTGGGCACACACACACACTTGCCCAGCATGAGTTTAAGCCACCGGGTTCAGGACTCAAACTGTGTTCAACTACATGGGAGTCCAGCAACATAGCCATTACGCCAACTACTGGCCCCTTTTGTTTGTTTCTTTCAAACTTGCTATAGGGCACAAATGTTTTCAGGAGAGAGACAGAGAAATAAACAGAAAGCAGATCCCCAAGAGGGATGACCATGCTGCAGTCTCTTCTCCTCTTGAAATTTTGGGCACACACCACACACATGCTCTGCATACTTTCCAGCTACCTGGTCCACGACTCAAAGCATGCAATCAGCCATATAGAATCCAGCCCCTTAACCACCACACCACCTACTGCCCCTCTCCACTTCTTTAACTTGTATTTCGATTAGGAATAAGACAGTATTTTCCACACATATTTATGAGGGTGATTTAGATGAATTTTTCAGCCCTCCACTTTGCCTCTCATTATGCTTTTCATGCAGTGTTTGTATTGTAATTGGATACCTGTAAATGGTCCTGTTTTCTTCTACTAATCTGAAAATTCTCTGAGGGTAGAGAGATCTTTGTTGATGTTATTAATTGGATCAGCAGTTGCTGGCCCAGTGCTTTATATATTAAAGTACTTAATAAATAGGTGTTTATTAAATAAATAAACAGACCTTTATTGAGCATCTCTAGTGGCTAGGAACTAGAATACAAAAAAATGTATTACACAGTTCTTAGCATCATTTTTTCTGTACAAAACTATTCTATTTTATATTAATTTTCTACTGGTTATCAAAGTAATCTTTTTTTGCTGTTGTTAAATTTGCTAGAAGGCATGTGTACCCTCCTAAGAGACTAAGAGACAGAAGCGGAAAGTGTGAAAGCAACCCTACTGCCCATGGAGTATGGTCATGCTGCATTTTCTTCTCCATTTCTCATTTTAGGACTTTAGGCACGCACACATGCACCTGTCTTGTTTCTTAAGCTGCCAGGTGTAGGACTTGAACTACACAGTTGACCACATGGGATGCTCCTTAACCACCACACAACGTGCTGGCCCAAAAGTGATGTTTTAAAACATTATCACTATTGCTGTTCAAAGAATATATTTAGTTCATTTATCAAATTATAATATTTATTTATTGAGTCTTAGCTGCTTTAGAAATTAACAAAGTATTTGAGATCGTTTTACCTATACGATTAAGGTTTTATCTGTGAGGAATGACTCTCTGACTGAAGAATTGGCATAGACTAAACGTACATGCTACTGAGCCCTGATTGCCTTAAATGTTCAAAGGAATTAGGAAAATGTAGACAAATGGCAGTATCATTTTTCTCCATATTGTATGTATAAGCGCGTGCACATGCGCACACACACACACACACAGCACTATAGCCAATGTCATAAAAGAGCAAAGAGATGGGAAAAGGAAGAAAGAATAAGAAGCTTGTGGCTGGCAGATGTTATTGGTATATAGAGGGCAGATACCAGGGATGCTGCTAAACTTCCTATATGTATCAGACAGTCCCCAGCCAAAAATGTCAACAGTGCTGAGGTTGAAAAATCCTGATTAGATGCTTTTTGTGTCTAACAAGTAACTTAAAATACATCAGTTTAATTGATCTTCCTGACAACCTTGTGACTTGCGTTAGCAAATGAAATTACAGCCCTTTTACAGATGACATAAAAGTAATGCTCAGTGGTTTTCCCAGAGTCATACAGCCAAGACCCCAGCTCACATTTTCTGAGTCCAAACCACATTCATTTTATGCTCTTTTGTTTAAGTCAGAGAATTAAGACAGAGTAATTGTGCCTTCTCTTTACTGTTCACATCAAGAACTCTTCGGTCTAGGAAGGGATGACACTGGGCCCTTACGGACTCAAGAAATCTTAATTCTGCTCTTAATTGCCAGAGTAGCAATGCTTTTCAAAGGAAAATATTATTCAGTAATATATCTTATTGAATATTCTTTTTGATTATTTCCAGATATCCAATCATTAACTTAATCAGTTTCACATTCTTTGATGCAAAAATACAAACTCCAGAATTAAAACTGGTAGATATGAAGGCTAGGCATCAGTGTACTCCTAGACCATACTTTTTTTTTTGAGAGGTTTTTGCTATAGGGCATGTGCATGTGCCAGAAAGGCAGACAGAGACAGAGAGACCGAAAGCAAGAAGTCACACCCCAGTGGGGATGGCCACACTACAGTCCCTTCCCCTCCATTCTCCTCTTGGGATTTTGGGCACACACGCACATGCTCCTGGCATGAGTTTATGCCACTGAGTCCAGGACTCAAACCGAGGTTGACTACATGGGAGTCTAGTGACATAGCCATTACACCCTCTATTGGTCCCACAAAACTCTGTTTTTAGAGCCATCAGTTTTTCCCCTGAGGGGATGCACCATTCCTGGAGGTACTGCAATACCAAGTAAATGCATGGACTGTACGGAGCAAGCTCATATTTCATCTTTTAAAATGAAATTTAAAATAGAGCCCACTTTTCAGGAATATCTTAAAGTTCCTACATGGCATTTTAATTATAAAGGAAGATGATATTTAATTTTCCAGATTGTTTAATATCTTCTAAGAGGATTTCCTACAAATTCTATGTTATTACTACATACTTTTTTTTTTCTTCTAGATGTTTTTCATAGGGTGTGTACATTCACCAGAGAGAGGGGAAAATGAGAAATCACCCCTTGTGGGTATTGTCACACTGCAATTCATTCTCCATTCTCCTTTCAGGATTTTGGTCATGCATGCACTTGTACCTGGTGTGATTATCAAGCCACCAAGCCAGGACTCGAACCACGGTTGGCCGTGTAGGAATCCAGCATCCCAACCTGCTGGCCCACACCACCTGCTGGCCCCACCACACATACTTTTTAATATATCTAGACAGTCATTAATTAGCATTAGAACCCAGTCATAAGCATTTTTTTCAAATATAGCTTTTTTCCCTTCTCTGTATAGATAATAGATTCAATAATATTTCACTTTGACCAAATGCTGAGTCTAATGCATTTCTTGGAATGAACTACCCATCTTAATAAGAGCATTTCTTCAAGTATCACAAAAAGGTTTTACATGTCCATCTTTATAATAAGTAAAATGTCTAACCTAATCACAAGTAAACAAAAGCAAAGACCTAATCTTCTATCTTATTTTTTGCTTGCTTCTTAAAACTATGTTATCATTTAAATGAGAGATAAAAAGCAACGTATGGCTAACAGCAATATTTATCAATTTAGGAATCTCTCAGATAATGCAGAAATTGACTTTTAATGTTTCAGGACATCCCTATAAATCATATTATGTAATTTTTAAAATATCTCTTCTTTCTTATTCCTGGCTCTGAGGTAACACTGGCAAACTTTGGTATTGGTAACTCTACTGTCTGCTGTCTAGCTGCTTTTAAAGAGTAAACCATAGATCAAATTGACCCCTTATTACCAAGCAAGACACACAGTTAAGAGCAAATTACCAGTAAAGGACGTATAACAGTTGCTGACTCTTCATTTGTGGAGAAGGTCCTGTCAAGTAGCAGTGTGCTACCTAAGCAAAGTAGATGTAAATGTGCAAGTTTCTTGCTGGGGATTTAGACCATTCAGCCCTCAATTTTCTTTCTTTCTTTCTTTTTTA